TGTGTTTTGTTGTTAACAGACTCTCCCACAAGTGCCAGGACCCTTGCTCCAGTCCAAGAATGGACTGCCTGGTGGAAAACTCCTCGCACCAATGGAAGATTCCTTGACGTGGAGAAAGTCTTCACAGTCAGTGAAATGGGACTTCTGGATTCACCACTTATTGTTTTCAGTCTTTCTTCCATGATGGAACCCAAGGCAGGGTCCACAAGGTTCCCAGGAGGTCTCCCAGGCAGGCACTGACCAGACCCAGCCTTGCTTAACTTTAGCAAGGTTGCCGCATCATGTACAATCCAGCCATACCTGGGACCACCTAAGCAATGTAACCTGGAGATACCAACTAAGCAGAAAAAATCTGGCATGGTAGAGTTATTTGTTGCGCAGTACGCCTGAAGCAACTTTCCAGCACCACCAGCCACCAGGACTTTTCCAGCCACTCCAACACTCCAGCACTCACCAGCATTCACTGCAGAGGAGGTTCTATATAGCACCACACCAATACAGTCCAGTGGTAAACTATATACAGATTTATTTACAATATATACACTCCACTAACAAATTGCTTCACCAAATACCATATCCAAAGAGAAGAGAATACAGAGCAAGTACATGTCCACTTATATACATTGAGTGTCCAATCAGCTTCAAGCTGAGTCATGATTACTGACCTCATTCCTTATCTGGTCTGAACCGGTCAGGACTTGTTATCAGCAGCTTGCCTGCTGTCACTTAGATCCTTATGATCTGAGTGCTGAATATTAACAACCAACATTATTTTGAGCACACATGAAGCTGCCTTCTACTGAATCAGACCCTCGGTGGATCAAGGCAAGTACTGTCTATTCAGACTGGCAGTTGCTCTCCAGGGCAGAGTTCTTTCACATCACCTACTGCCTTGTCCTTTTCACCTGGAGATGCACAGGACTGAGCCTGAGACCTGCATGCAAACCAGATGTTCTACCACTGAGCCACAGCCCCTTTCCTTTTGTTTATTTGTTTTCTTGATTGCTTTGAAACCAGCTGCCAAAAAAGCAAGTGTAACACCAATTATTTTACTCTTCTGCCTGTTTCTATTTTTTAATATTGAGTTCCACCTCTGATTTTTGCACTGAGCTCTACCCCAAACTGTTGTCTTTTGGACCCTGGCCCTACCTCCAGACCAGCTTTAGTCTCCAGTGCCCCACCAAGGGCTCCATCCCGGACCTCTTCCAGATACCAGATACCAGATCCCCCCCCCCCGATTTCAAGAGTTGAGAATTCTTTGATCTCCTCTTTCTCCCATTAGAGGACCAAGACACAACCTGGCAGAAACAATGAATAACCCAACTTCCCTCTTCCCAGACAGAGAGCCTACTAAGCATTGATGGTTCAATGTTCCAAGCTTTTCATCACCACTTACAACCTGGTTCTGAATGAACATTGATCTCCCAACAAAATTTCCAGAACTTGACAAGATGACCAACATGTTCAGCAAAGTCACATGTTACTAGGGTTGCCAGGTCCCTTCGAGATGTGGTGGGGGGATGAGGGGAACACTCTGTGAGCCAGAAGCATCACCCCTGACATGCCAATGTCACCGTAAGTGACACCACACACTGTACCGACAAAGAAGCCAATTAGAGGGGGAAAATCAAAGAAAGGAACTACACAAACTATTAGGGCCAAGCAATCAACCATCAGAAAATATGGAGGAGACAATTTGAAATTGAACACGCAGGAGCCCAAGCTGTATAAGGAGTACAAGGACAGACGTCATGTGGAAGAAAATGAGAAAAATCACTACAGAAAGGAACTAGAATATGGTACCATTGCAGGGATTGTGTGTGTGTATTGGTAGGCTGTATATCTTGTGTTTTTCTAGTTTTTCATACTGTTACAGGGAAACCTAAAAGATGGCTGTTTCAAACATAATTAGTAGTACTGGTTTCTATAAGAATATTCCTAACCTTGCCTTGTTAATTTGCCCATAAATTAATTGAAAATGAATTTATTATTGGTAATTGTAGTATGTTTTCCTCCTGCCAACAGGCAGGAGCCCACAAAACTGGGGGATCCCCCACCCCCCGCTGGGGACTAGTGACCCTACATGCTACAGTCCCTCCTAGACTATTTCACTTCATGCTAAAATTGTCCATGCAGGGGGAAGTATATTCTTTAAAGTCCCTGAGGTGGAGAAGGTTGTTTTTTATACACTCTGGTATGATGTGGGGAAATGTGATGACATCAGCATGCCAGGAGACCATGGAAGGCTCTCAATAGGCTTCACTGAGGCTAATCCATTCTCAGCTGTTCAACTAATAGGAAGAGCCTGGCCACAAGGAGCAAAGACTTTCTGCCCTTCCCTTGTTGTTGCACTAGGTACAGTCCAAAATGCACTAGGCTGGCACATGGGAATCAAGAGGGGGACTTCATCCAGCATCCACCTGCTGGAGGAACTGGTGATGAAGTTAGTGGCTGCACCTGTGACAGGAACTTGGGGTTCAGCTATGGTAGCCAACTTCCAGGTGGGGGCTGGAGATCTCCCAGAATTACTTCCCCTGGAGAGAAGGGCTGCTTTTGTGTGTGTGTGGGGGGGGGCTATGGCATTATATGCCTCCCCGACCCCACCTTCCCCAGGCTCCACCCCCAAATCTCTAGGAATTTCCCAACTTGGAGCTGGCAGCCCTAGGCTCAGCAGGCAAAGCCTAGGTTGGAATCTTCTGAGGCTTTGTGGTGGCAACAGCCATTGAGGTTAAGGACTGCTTCCCTGTCAAGAGTTTGATTTGCAGCTTTTAGGTTCCTGAGCTTACTGCCTTTAAACATGTTCTGTTCCTAACAAATCTCTCCCTCAAAAAAGAAAGTTATTTAATTAACTTATTTCAATATTTATATCCTGTTCTTCTTTGTAAAGCAGATTTCAGCAATCACCAAAAAAAAGCCCCCGATATTAAAATGCACAATAAAATAATATCACACGTCTAATTATTTTTGTCGAACCTTATAAAGCCAACCACTGTCAATCAAACCAGCTTGCCCGTTATCTCTTTTTCCCGCAGGCATTCAGACAGTCAAAGTGGGGGGGGGGGGAAATTAATGAACGGACTTCTGACCTTTTATTTTCTCTCAGTGCCTTTTCTCCTTTCTTCCACGAGATGGTCGGCTTCGGAGAGGCTTGTGGCTTGCACTCCACAGCAACTTCTTGGCCAATGGTGACGATGATGGTTTTCTTAAGTTGACTTGGTGGGAAGGTTGGAGCAGAGGCTGTTCAACAAGGAAAGAGTTTAGTCTTATGGGAGAATCGCCAGCTTTCATCATAGAAACATAGAGCTGGAAGGGAACCCCGAGGGTCATCTAGTCCAACCCCCTGCACAATGCAGGAAATTCACAACCACCTCTCCCCCCCCCCACGCAGTGACCCCTCTATGCCCAGGAAAAGGCAAAAAACCTCCAGGCTTGAATTGTATCTGTTTGCTATAGCTCTCAGGGATTCTGGATCGCTGATCCTAGCATAGCATGATCACTTCTTGAGGTGGAAGAAAAAGGGAGATGGCTTCAGTTCTAATTAGACTCTATTTCATCTGTGGCCCATGTTGCATAATGAATAATCTAAATCCACCTGTAAATAACTGGCCTAGTGTCTACCCCACCCCACCCCACTGGACACCATCGGCCCCATTTCACATAGTGTTGCCACGAAGCCATTCCAGATTGCCCTCTCAAAGAGACTCTTTTACTCTCAATGCTTTGCTGGACTGTGAATTGTGTGTCAGGGTAATGGACAGAGCTGTGGTCCTAAGCCGAGTGCCCCATGCTGGACTATGGACTGTGTACTGTGGCCAGGGCAGCCTTGTGCCACAGGCACATGCCAAACCAGATCTGGACCCAAGACTACAGATGACTTCTGCTCGTGTTCCGCTCTGCATCTGCACAAGCACCGTGATGCGGACCAGAAGCCCTGGTCTCCATGAACACAGAAACAGCAGCAGACCAGAGAGGAGCCATGTTCTGTAAGAGGACACATGTTCCTGCAAAGAAGCCATGAAGGGATCGCTTCTCCACCACGCAGCACATTCCTTTCTCCCCTGAGTCATCCTTAAACAAAGACTGTTGCCCAGCCAGAAACAAAAGATGTGATCAGCCTCCCTGCCACTGATCCAGAAGACACCCATAACAAGCATTGAATAATTAAAGTGATTGCACCCTCTTTTTCCCTTCCCTTATCTCACCCCTTCCCCAAGAAGTGTCACTCCCTTACACATATCATCCCTAAATTGTCCAACCATCGTTTCCTTTGTCCTATCCATCATAAGGTATTGTTTTTTTCCTTCTACATTTCCTGGGAACCAGTGACCACCCAGTTTACGCCTCAGGTCACAAAACTGGCTACTTAAAGGAAACTCTCTGCACATGCAGTGGAGCTTTCACCCCCACCCCACCTTTCAGGTTCCATTCCTGATCAGTTTGGGACCACTCCACGTGTGTTGCTAGCCTGTTCATGATCCACTCCCCCTCTCTTCCTCTTCCCTTTTCGCTGCATGGTCTACTCATCTTGCCAGATAGGTAACGTATCACCCACCAACAATATTCCTGCTAATGCGAAAGTCACTATCTTTTCCCTGCCTAATTCTTCCTAGCTCTGTATCGAATGTGTGTTAATCATTGTTGCATGACTTGGAATTATTAAGTAAAAGACCAATTATCACAGCAACCTGGTCTCCTCCTCTATTCACGGGCTCTGGGAATTCTCACTCTGGTATACACAGGTCATGTCCATGTGCTATATGTCAATTGCCCTTTAATATCATAATTCCCCCAAGCTTGATAAGAATTAAGGAAATTTGGCTAACACACTGTGCAGGACTATCTGGCAGAACTTGACCTAAGTTAATAGCAGATTCTTAATAAACTGGAAATAGAGAGAGGAACTTTCTGAAATTCTGGAACTACACACCCAAAATCCTCAGCTCGGCGCTGGTGTAAATGGCTCCATGCTTGTTTTCTGCTACACACTGGTACATTCCAGCATCCGACTGATTGACACTGTGGATCATCAGTACACCATTAACCATCTCAATCCTGCTCTGTAATGGAATAGAAAAATAATTCTACAAAAGCAAACAAAACCAGAAAAATTTGTTGGGTTTTCAGCTTCAGAAGGAAGTAGAGTAGGGGGGGAAAGGTGTTACAATGGATTAAACGTGCTTATTGTACTCAACAGGCAGTATCTTATTTAAGTTTGTCAGAAGTTTCTCTAGCTTATGGGAGCCTTCACCCAGCCTTAACAGCCACTTAAGCTGGAGGAAGACATCAAACTTTGCTTAATGGAATGGTAGGGTATACACCAATGGTCTTGGCTTTTCCTTTCTTTTGTCTTTGGGGAAATGCTATCACTGAGAGCTTGGCTCCTGTCTATGTCAGCCTTGACTATGTCTATGGCTCCTTGTCTATGTCAGCCAATCAAGAGTGGGTGAGTAGAATGGGGGAAATACGCACAAGATCACATGAAGTTGCCTTCTCCTGAATCAGACTCTTGGTCAATCAAGGTCAGTAATGTCTACTCAGTTTGGTATAGTGGTTAAGAGCGCGGACCCTAATCTGGGAGAACCGGGTTTGATTCCCCACTCCTCCACATGCAGCTGCTGGCGTGACCTTGGGGCAGTCACAGCTCTCTTGGAGCTTTCTCAGCCCTACCTACCTCACAGGGTGTCTGTTGTGGGGAGGGGAAGGAAAAGGAGATTGTAAGTCACTCTGAGATTCCGTGTGAAGGGTGGGGTATAAATCCAATCTCTTTTTCTTCTTCTTCTAAAATACTTTGGATGCAGGTAAGGGCATGCAATGGTTGCCAAAGTATACTTGGAAGTGCACAGGAAGCCATTGATGCAGTCTCAGGGATCATAAAGGGAGTTTCCCAGAGGTCATAGGACCTCCACACTGCACACACCTGTACCCCACGCACAAGAAGTCTACTGAATTATAATCAGTGCTGTGTGTATTATAATTATAACCATACTTGTGCGTGTTCTCCATTATGAGATGGGAGAATTCCATGCCAAAACATTTCTGTGGTGTGATAGGCAGAAAGATGCATCGTGTGTAAAGTATCCTGCTTCCCCCCAGAGTGGGCAACGAGACATACACAGTGCTGAAGGGTCTAGAGGTTTTCTCTCAGTGGCCACATTAATTTAATGAAAGCAAGGAGAACTGGAAGCAAATGAAAACTACTGTGTACTTACCTCCTGCAAGAACGACACTCCATTTTTTAGCCAGTGATAGGTGGGCCGTGGCTTTCCAGTCGCTTTACATTCCCATCGAAGTTGATCCCCACTGTCTAGCTGGGTATCATTAAGCCTGTCCACCCAATGCGGGTACGCTGCCAACAGAAAAGGAAGAGGATCACAGTGTTTATTGTTGCTGAACTAGGCTGCTTTACCTAACATTCTGAAGGTTCAGTGATCGATTTATCACTGAGAGCCTGGCTCCTGTCAATGTCAGCCAATCAAGAGTGGATGAGTAGAATGGGGGGAATACACACAAGATCATGTGAAGCTGCCTTCTCCTGAATCAGACCCTTGGTCCATCAGGGTCAGTAATGTCTACTCAGACTGGCAGCGACTCTTCAGAGTCCTAGGTGGAGGTCTTTCCCATCACCTACTACCTGGTCCTTTTGACTGGAGATGGCAGGGAAGGAACCTTCTGGATGCCAAGCAGATGCTCTACCACTGAGCCATGGTGCCTCCCTTGTGAGAAACCAGTTCTCACAAGATGTTATAGAAAAAGCTAAACAGTCCAGAGGTCAGAGTAGTGCTTTGGTTGCCGATATCCAGTTGGGGCCTGGAGCTCTCCTGGAATTACAACTGGACTTCAGACCACAAGGATCAGTTTCCCTGGAGAAAATGGCAGCTTTGGAGCGAGGACTGTATAGTGCCACATCCCCGCTGAGCTCCCTCCCCTCCCCAAACTCCACCCTCGCCAGGCATCACCCAAGCCTAAGGTGGCAGCCCTGCGTGAACCTGGGATCAGATACTATATGGCAAGGCCTGGAGAAGGAGGAGGAGGAGGAGATTGGATTTAAATGCCGCCCTTCACTTGGCGTCTCAGCGTGGCTTACAATCTCCTTTCCCTTTCCCTCCACACAACAGATTCCCTGTGAGGCTGGTGGGGCTGAGAGAGCTCTTTTCAGAACTGTCCTTGAGGGAACAGCTCTGACAGAACTATGGCTTGCCCAAGATCATCCAGCTCTGACAGAACTATGGCTTGCCCAAGATCATCCAGCTCTGACAGAACTATGGCTTGCCCAAGATCATCCAGCAGCTGCAAGTGGAGGAGTGGGGAATCAAACCCGGTTGTCCCAGATAAGAGGTCGTGCACTTAACCACCACACCAAACTGGCAGAGATCTTGTGGATTTCAGACCACAAATTGATTCTTCTTTACTGATGCTCTACTAATACGAGAGTGCTAAAGAAATCCTAGTTTGGAGGCTTAAGGCTGTGACACAATCTCAACCTTCACACTGAGGTGTGTGATTTTGACCTCACACGTCACAAAATGGCTGAGAGGCCTGAGGTAGACTGAATCCATTATCTGCAGCTCTTTGTAATGTTTATTATTTATTTGTTTAATTGAATTTTTAAAACACCCTTCCATATAAATAGGGCAAAGGGCAGCAGTGTATATCAAAGGCCAGTTTACCAATTCACAACTTCCAGATTCATAATTTAACTTACCAGTTAAAACAACAATACTTATAACCAATAGATGGCGATAAGTTACCTGGAGCATGCCACCGCCTAGTGGGGAAAGAGGTAGGGGGAAAGACAGGAGTGCCACCTTGATGGAACGGTCGCTGTCCTCAGCCAAACGCCTGGTGGAACATCTCTGCCTTACATGCCCTGTGGAACTACATTATGTCCCACAGGATATGGATGTTATTTGGTAGAGAGTTCCACCAGGTTGAGGCCAGAGCAGAAATTTCCCTGGCCTTGGTCAAGGACAGCCAGGTATTTCTTGGGCCAGGGACCACCAGAAGGTTCTTATCAAGTGAGCATGATGCTCTTCAGGGAGTGTACCAGGAGAAGATACATGGGTCCTTGACCATTAACGCCTTAAAGGTCAACACCATAACCTTGAGGCTGATCCAGTACTCTAATATGTAATGGGAATTCAACCATAACTAATTATTTTATTTACTTATTCTTACACTGGCAAACAAAGCCTTCCTATAAGAACCTCAAAGGTGTTGGTAGAAGGCTCCCAGGTAATCTGGGTACTGACCAGGCTGAGACACTCATACAAAAGTGTGAAGAAAAACTTACGCAAATGCATTAGGAGTAGATTCCCAACCACAAGCCAAATTCCAGTGTTTCTTCAGGTAGTAAAAAAACAATCAAAAAGAACCAGTTTTTGGTGGCAGAAGTCTACCTGTTTCATAACGCCCAGGACCAGTTTCAAACACTCAGAGTCTGGCTCAAACATGTATTGTTATTAATCACTAATGTTTTCATTATCCGAGCAAATGTTTTTCTGCCTCAAGCATTTAACTGCCTGTAGTGATGTAAATGTTCCTTAGTGAAACTGTGGCAACCCACAGACTACTACAATACTTCAGTGCTTCTCTTGGAGACACTTTCAGAGGGTAGCTGTGTTGATCTGAAGTAGAGCTGCTTGATTCGAGTCCCGTAGCACCCTAGAGATCCGCAAGATTTTTTGGGAGATAAGCTTTTGAGGGTCAAAGCTCCCTTCATCAGATACAACTAGGAATGGAGATCCATGTGTCCTTAGACTCCAGTCTGAAGGTGGGAGGGATGTTGCAATGAAAGGAAACCATGCTTTTCTGGATCACTTTTCCTTGGCAAAAACTAAAAATGAATACACTACAGTGGCTGAGGTTAAAAAAGGACCTCAAAGTCAAAATAAGTAGACTTTTTAGGATAATAATAATTAATAATTATTGTATGGCAGTGTGTGTAGTATAGCCAGGGGATCTTAAGATTGTCTGGCAGTCAGAAGTTCTAGCTCTTTTAGCATTATGCACCACTAGGTGGCGAGCTACACTTTTTAGGAAGTTTGTTATGACCCAGGTTTAAAAAGAAAACTCTTATGTAGTTAAGTGACTGCATATTGGATCTGTCAGGCAGAAGCTTGCCTTAGACTGGAGGAAGTTGCACTAGCTTAAGCAGCCTTTCTCCAGGCTAAGGAGCCCTTCCTCCATCTTAAGTAATTCCATTGTTGGAAGAACAGTCACTTAAGTCAGCAGAAGGCTCCTTAACGCTGATGAAAGGCTTTACACTTTTCTTAGAGGAGTGGTAGGTCATTGGGTTGGATCCAGCACCAAATTTCCATTTAAGCTAAAGCTCTTGTGCCAGACGAAATGCAAGAAAAAAGTCCATGGTAGCTGCTGGCAGTAAGTGAAAACTTATTGCAAATCCACTTGGTTTCCCCCAAGTTCTTTGCGGGGAAGAAGAAGAAGAAGAAGAAGAAGAAGAAGAAGAAGAAGAAGAAGAAGAAGAAGAAGAAGAAGAAGAAGAAGAAGAAGAAGAAGAAGAAGAAGAAGAAGAAAACAACAACTACCTGAAGGAGTCTCAGAGTGGTTTACAACCTCCTGCCCTGTGATGAAAAAGAAGAAGAGAAGAGATTGGATTTATACCCTGCCCTTCACTTGGAGTCTCAGGGCGGCTTACAAACTCCTTTCCCTTCCCCTCCTCACAACAGACACCCTGTGAGGTAGGCGGGGCTGAGAGAGCTCTTTCGAGAACTGCTCTTGACAGAACAGCTCTGAAATAACTTGTAACTGATCCAAGGTCCCACTAGAAGCTGCATGCGGAAGAGTGGGGAATCAAACATGGTTCTCTCAGATTAGAGTCCACGTTCCTAACCACTACACCAAAAAGATAGGCTCCCCTGTTTTACGCAGCCTCTGGTTAACTCTAGGGAGCTGGCCAGCTGTTCTAACTCCTTCAAGTAACCTGTTGTCAAGTTGATGTTTCAGTTGGTTTAACTGTTCTATTTATTGCATTGATTTATGTGTATTGTGTGCGTATCTACTGTATTTTAAATGTTGTCAACCACCCCATGTCCCCTGCGGGGAGAGGGTGCAGGTGTTAAATAAACATTCCAGAACCACCCCCCAGTGCAAATGGGGTGACTTTTTAATTCCAGATCCACAGCATTTTGTGGCACCAGAACATCCTCTGGATCTCATTTACAAAACTCTTTCCACTAGGGATGCCAACCTCCAGGTGGGGCCTGGGGATCTCCTGGAATTACAACTCATCTCCAGACTACAGAGGTCAATCCCTCTGGATAAAATGGATGCTTTGGAGGATGGATTCTATGCCCTCGTACCCCACTGAGATCCCTGTCCTCCCTGTATTCTATCCCCAAATCTCCAGGAGTTTCCCAACCTGGATGTGGCAACCCTGCCTCTCTGCACAAAGATTCTGGCGTCCTGAAGAGTCTTCTGTAGAGTCCCCTGCCCACATGCCTCTTTCAGAATCCCATTTTCCCCGTCTAACAAAACGGTTTAGCAACAACAGACGACGCTGTGGGCTTAAGGCCTTAATAACTATTCTACAGATGCCAAATTCCAAGGGAAAAAAGCCAGCTCAAATTAATAAGGCTTAACTCATTAATCCAAAGCACTGAAGAGGAAAGCCGTTCAAATCTCTTCTGTATGGCATTGCAGAAGATCAGGTGTCAATGGCCCTGACACCAAGGAATGCAGAATAATATATCTGGCAGGGCTGGTTAGTAATTGAGAATCAGCACAGTGAAGGATCTATTTTGGACAGAATAAAATCAATAAAGCACTTTAATAGCAGCTCCTCAGCTGGATGGAACTTAAGAATAAATCTTGCAATCTATTTGGTATTTGACCAGTCACCAATCAGGGTCCCGAGAAGCTGCAAAAAGACATGACAGTTCTGCCCGGAACACTGGTTGCAAAGAATATAAATCAAGTTGATTTTTAGTCTTGAGTCTCAAGATAGCCGAAGGAGGATTGGTCTGCAATTTGGACATGTATTGAAAAGTTAAGGGGAATTGTGTGTGTGTATCCAAGAAACCTGTAGAAAAACAAAATGATCCTGGGTGTAAAATAGGGTTGCCAACATCCAGGTGGTGGCTGGAGATATCCCAGAATTACAGATTATCTCCAGATTACAAGAGATCAATTCCTGTGGAGAAAATGGCTGCCTTGGAAGGTGGACTGTGTGGCATTGCACCCCACTGAGGTCTCTCTCCTCTCCAAACACCACCCACTCCAGGGTCAACCCCCTACATCTCCAGGTACTTCCCAACCCATAGTTGGCAATCTTAGTGTAAAATAATGAAGTTCAGAACTTTATTCATAAGAACATAAGAGACGTCAATG